GAGAAGAGAGAAAAGAGAGAAAGGCTGGTTCGAATTAGGAAAAAAAGTTAATCCCTTGATTCGGCCAGACCTATTATTATATTATTGACTTATTGAAAAAGACTTGAGTGCCCTTCTTTAAGTAAGAGGCACTCGAACTAACATAACAGTACACATCAGCATTCTCAACAAGTACAAAGACTGAAATACCCCTTCACTAACACCACTAACAATATGTTATGTTTATGTATTTTAATTTGAGCTAGTAGGCTTCTTAAAACATTTAGTTTAAAATTAAAGTTTGCATTTTAATTAACACTACTTTTTAATATTTTTTGAATTGTTTGCATTTTTTTGAATTTCTTCAAAATTTTTTGTGTTGCTTCAAAAAGGTGTGTCTCACCTTGCACCTTGTGCCTTGGGTGCAAAAATCCGTTTTTTTTTTTTTTGGCATCTTGTGCTTTTAAAATAAACAGGAGACACAAGATAATACAAGGTACATAAAAAATAATATTCAAAAAAAAAAACTTACATAATATGGATCTTCATGACTACAATTACTGTTTTTTTTCTTAACTTGGTTATACCAGCAGAAATTCTTTTAGATTCCTGAGTTTGAAATCCTTTAATCTTGATATTAAATGGTGCATCATTTGCATCAACACTCTATTTCTCAGTTAATGCTTCCTTGTTCTGAAGTGTCATATTTACCTAACATAGTGAAAATATTTATTGCAGGTGTTATATCAGGGGCTCTTCTCTATATTCGAGATGATTTTGAGATGGTTGATCGTAGTAACTTTCTACAGGTACAAGTTATAAAATTTGTTCTATTTGCTCTGGTGTTTGAATAATCAACTTGATTGACTTTTGTTTCTCAGAAAGTTACTGAATCCTGACAATTACAGGAAACAATTGTTAGCATGGCACTAGTAGGAGCAGTTATTGGAGCTGCAGCAGGGGGTTGGATGAATGATGCTTGTGGACGTAAGAAAGCTACTCTTTTTGCTGATGTGGTGTTTACTATTGGATCAATTGTGATGGCCGCTGCACCAGACCCATATATTCTTATATTTGGAAGGCTTCTGGTTGGCTTGGGTGTGGGTGTAGCATCTATTACTGCTCCAGTCTATATTGCTGAAGCATCCCCATCTGAAATTAGGGGAGGACTTGTGAGCACAAATGTTCTTATGATTACTGGTGGACAGTTTCTTTCTTACCTTGTGAATCTTGCTTTTACTGAGGTCAGGTTTATTTTAATCTTCTGTTTTCTGTGATTTATCTATCTCTTCTTTATTATAGCTATTTTGAAAAATACCCAATAAAATTCTTAAAAGTAAGAACTAAAATGAAATTACCTAGTATATATATTATAGTAGGTGGATTGAGAAAGTTGTTGAGGATTTTACTGTTATTAGCTTCTTTTATTTTCTTATTTTGTTTAGTTAGCATGTTGGGACTACAATCTATTAGTTATAAGTCTTTTAAGCTGTAGTTTATGTTTCTTTTTTAAGTTGTAAGCATCAGCCGCCCTATCAAGGGTATATGTCTTTGTACTTATGTTTTTATGTAAGTATAAAAGTTAATGGGAGAGGGTGAGCAGCATTATTGCCTTCTCTTTCTGTTCTCTATTCTTTCTCTTCTCCTTCTACTCTTCCACAAATTCTCACCTTTCTTCCTCTTTGCAATTTTATTTCTGTTCTATTGATTTCTACTTGGTATCAGAGTCAAGATTAAACATTCTTGAAGCAGATTCATGCAGCCCTAGATCAGACAACTGCATAAAGGAATAGAAAATTGATTAATTGGCATCAAGATCAGGAAGACTAGAGTGAAGGAAGAGTCCTAGTCAGATTGGACTCTTGGTTTTTGACCTGGAATTGGGCACTCAGATCTTTCTGGATTTATTGGAGCTTCCTACAGTGGGTGGTTCAGTTTCTAGCAAGTTTTGGGCTTCATAGTGAGGTCGATACAGTATTCTCTTGCTTCTCTCAGTTACCAGGAAGGGAGATTTCTCTCTGGGCAAGGTTTTCAAAGGAAGAGCTCCCCACTTATTCTGCTGAGATTGATCTGATCTAGAAGTATTTTGTTTGTTTTTTCTTATTGATTTAAGCTGATTAAATTGATATGGAGGGCTGTAGTGCTGAACAGAAATCTATCGGTGACCTAGGTCTGGGTGTAGGAGGTACTAGTGATCCTTTTGGATCTGGGGTTATTACTACAATTAAATTGAGTGGTACAAACTATCTAGAATGGCCACAATCAGCCAAGATGGCTATTGGTGCACATGGAAAACTAGGGTGTATTAATGGAGAGGAGAAGAAACCTGATACAAATTATTCCCAGTGGGTGCAAGAGAATTACATGGTAATGTCTTGGCTGTGTAATTCTATGTTACCTATTAATAAAAGTTTTTTGTGGGCTGATACTACAAAGGAGAATTGGTATGGAGCAATTGAGATTTATTCTCAGAAGCAAAATGTATCTAGAGCCTATTAGTTGAGGAATCAAATAATTAATACAAGGCAAGGAGATAGACCTCTTGTTTGGGAGAGTATTGAGGATGCAACAACTTATTAGAACTTGGTAGAAAAGAATAGGGTGTTTGAATTCCTTGCTAGACTAAACCCTAGATTTGATATTTCTAGATTAGGGGTGAGCAAATGGTCTATTTGGATAAAAATCGAACTGAATAAACCGAAATCTTTAAAACCAAAATTTTAAATGAAAAACTGAACCGAAATCAAAATATTGAAAAACCTAAATAACCAAAACCAAAATTTTCGGTTCGGTTTTCGGTTAAAACCAAATTTCAACACTATATATATTATAGTGTATATTTTAATATATAATATATACTAAAAAATATATGTTATACAATGTATATAATAAATTACATATTTTAATACAATATAATATATTTTATACATATTATATATGTATTATATGTTAATATATATTCTAGATAATAAAGTTCGGTTAATTTGGTTTTTTCGGTTAATCAAATTTCTAAACATGAAAACCGAAACTGAAACCAAAATTTTACAAAACCGAAATAACCAAAAACTGGAAAAACCGAACCGAAAAAAAATGAAATTGAAATTTTTGGTTTGGTTTTTCGATTTTAGCCGAATAATGCTCACCCCTATTCTAGATAGCACATTCTTTCTGGAGAAAGTGTGACCCTTTCTCAAGCATATACTTTTGTGTATGGAAAGGAGAGTGGGAGGAATGTAGACAGTCTAGGATTGACCAATCAGCTATGGTTAGTACAGCCAAACCTAAGCCCAATGGAGACAGGGGGAGTAATGAGATTAAACTAGAAGACAAGAAGGACTTGGTATGTGACTATTGCAAGAAGCCTAAGCATACTAGAGATACCTGCTAGAAACTCCATCAACATCTTATATCAGCTCGGGTTAGAAACATGAAAGGAAATGCTAATATGACAATCATTGGAGACTCATTAGGACCTCTAACTCCAGCTTCCTTGGAGTCCATTGCAGTAGCAGCAGTTAAGTCAGAATTGGAGAAGCATGGGTGTAAGCATCAAGAAATGGCCCACTTGGGTTGAATTTGAGTTGCCACCTGTCATTCAAGTGAAATGGAGGTGGGTGATAGGACCTCTGGGAACTATATCAATTGGGTGTTATTAGTGTAGTGGTGTCCCCCTTCATCAAAATGGGACTTACCCAAATCATCATCTAAGCCTTGTTCCAGCTATATGGTTCTGCTACATGACCCTGGTCTGATGTTTTCAATTTACTTTTTATTTTAAGTTAATAACTTGCAATTACTTCAAGAAATATTATCTCTTCAAAGATATTTTATTGTGGAAAATAAGGGAATTCAGGGGCACCCTCCTAATGACACTGGTAGGAAGCATTTCTTTGACACTCTATCCTCAACTTGTGATTGATTGGGAATTGGGAGGACAATAAGAGAAGCTCTCTTTCTCTCTTATTTAGTTGCAAGAAATTCTCTATGTATGCTTTGTGTGTACTTTCTTTATTCTTATGGTTAGAGCCTAAATTTCAGTTTGCTCAAAATCTATGAATGCCATTTTCATGATAGAACAGGTCGCAGGGACGTGGCGCTGGATGCTTGGGGTTGCTGCTGTACCAGCTGTTATACAATTTTTTCTTATGTTGCTTCTTCCTGAGTCTCCCCGCTGGCTTTATATGAAGGTACAAAAATACTTTGTTCTGTTTCCTTTCGTGGAATTTATTTGTAGACTGCCTATTTTTTGTGCCATTCATTTTCAACATGAGCCTTAACTGCAGAATGAGAAATCTGAAGCTGTTGCTGTACTTGCTAAAATCTATGATCCTTACCGTTTGGAGGAGGAGATTGACCAACTATCTGTTGCATTGCAAGAAGAACTTGATACAGGGAATGCTATCAGATATCGAGATATTTTCAAATACAAGGAAATCAGACTTGCATTTCTGGCTGGTGCTGGACTTCAGGTAAAAATGAATGACTGCTTCTAAGCTGTATGAGTGTTTTTAGATAACTGGATGCTGCCATCATTGAACTGTCAATACTGCCTTGGCACATGGCTCAATATGTAGCTTTTAGTGGTAGGCCATAATAGTTTAATGGTAATTGTTGGCCAAGTTCATGGATGCATGTGTGCGTCATGATTTTGAAACCAGACTGGACCAGGCGGTTGGGCAGTTGACCTGGGAACCGGTCATGGCTCCAAGTCCGGTATGACTGGGATCAGACTGCATGGTCGGACCGTTTGACCCCGGGAACTGGTGGCCAAAACAGTTCCGTTTCTGGGTCGGCTTTTAAAACCATGGTGTGCATGTACACATACATATTGCATGCTTACAAGAAATTAAATGGAAGGGGGAAATGCTAAAGAAATTGATGCTACAAACTATAGTACAAGGGAGAAGTAAATAATAGAAATGGAGTAGCAATAATGGTAGATAAGGATTAAAAAATGAAATTGTAACTATTAAAAGAGTTAGAGATAGAATAATTCTAACTAATTTTAGGTGAGGAAATCATTAACATTAAAAGATAATTTAGGAAAACTTAAAAAGGGGTTTTAATCGAAGAAATTCCAAATGAAGAGAAGACTTTCATAGGAGGACATATAAATAGGTGTGCTGGGAAAAGAATTGCAGGATATGATACGACACATGGAGGATTTGGATTTGGATAGAGAAATGAAATAGGAAAACAATTTTAGAATTTTCAATAGCTTATAATATAGCATTAGTAAACACATTTTAAAAAGGATGGACATTTAATAACATTTAAAAGTGGATTATATTTTAAGTTAAATAAGTTTTTTTTTTTTTCCTTACTAGGAGAATAGAACAACAAGGATTGCAAAGTCATTTCAGGGGAAAACTTAACCATGCAGTATAGATTGTTGGTGGTAGATGTGTACAGTAGGAAATTGAAGTGAATAGAAAATAAAGTAGGTGCCTAAGAAATAGGTGTGGGCAAATCTAGAAGGAGAAAAATTAGCACAATTTAGAGGTAGGTTAATAATAAAAGGAAAGTGAAATTTAAATGAAGACATTAATAATATGTGGCTGGAAATTGCTAACTGTATAAAAAAATAGTAGCAAAGGACGTTTTAGAAGAATCTAAATAAAAATAGCAAAATGCAAAAGAAACTTAGTGGTGAAATGAAGAGATTCAGAGTACAACCAAAGTAAAATGAGCATGTTATGAATATTGGCAGAAGACCAAAGATGTAGAAACTTGGAAAAATATAAAGCCATAAGAAATGAAATTAAAAAAGAAAGTAAGTGAATCTAAATTTAAAGCATATTATAGACTTCATCATAACTTAGGCACTAAAGAAGGAGAAAATGGATTTATAAATTAGCAAAAATGAGAGAAAGGAAGGCAGAGATTTAAATCATGTTAGATGCATCAAAGATGAGATCAAGGAGTCTCAACAAAAGATGAAGAAATAGAAGAAAGATACAATAAACTGCTTTGAGAAATTTTTTTTTGATAAGTAAACTGCTTAGAGAAATTATTAAATGAAGAACATTTAGAGGGTGCTAATGAAAAAGGGGTTTATAAATGTAGTGGCATTAAAAATAACATCTACTTCCATAAAATTAGAATTACCAAAGTGAAGTAGTTACTAAATAAGATGAAGGGAGGAAAGGCAAAAGTACCTGATGGTATCCCAATAGAGTTGTCAAAGGTTATTGAAGGGGTAAACTTATTATGGCTTAAGGATTTTGAAGGCCAAACACAACATGGTAAATGGTTTGATTATGGAAAATGAACAATGCAGAATCTGCTTAGGTATTCTATTAACATTGACTTCTCTGATTCTTGGTACGGTGCGTTGCATTAACTTGTGCAAGAAACAAAAGTACATTTTGGTTGTTTCAAATGCACATCACTCAATGTGATAAGGTGCAGCCTGTGAGATCTGAAGTTGTAAAAGTTTAACATCATGCATGCTAGGCTTTATGCTGCAACATTGATGTCAGACACCTAATTCCGCTTGCCTGCTTGAACCTAAAATTATCTATGTTGATGATAGGATAAAAATGAAACGTTATAGTACTCTTACCATTTTGAACCACCTATGGTTTTCTACTTCTGATTGCATGGTTCATATAATAGGAACTCTTTTGGAATATTGCCTTATAGGGGAATTAAAAAGTAAAATGGCAAAACTAGATTAGTGAAAATCATGGACCAGAATGTCAAGAATTATTCATTCATTCAGAAATTTGAGTTTGCAGGCTTTTCAGCAGTTCACTGGAATCAACACAGTCATGTACTACAGCCCTACAATTGTGCAAATGGCTGGGTTTCATTCTAATCAGTTAGCCTTGCTCCTTTCCCTGATTGTTGCTGGTGTGAATGCTACAGGAACTATTGTAGGTATTTACCTGATTGACCGTTTTGGGCGGCGGCGTTTAGCCCTAACCAGCTTATCTGGTGTAATTGTATCCCTTGTGGTCCTCTCTGGGGCATTCTTCTTACAGGCATCTGGTCTTTCATTGGGACTTTGTGAGGAAGGTGTTCTGCGTGGCAACTGCAGTAGTGGATATAGCTGGTTTGCAATCTTGGGACTAGCATTGTACATTGCTTCTTTCTCACCTGGCATGGGGCCTGTGCCATGGGCTGTGAACTCAGAAATATATCCTGAGGCCTATCGAGGGGTTTGTGGTGGTATGGCAGCAACCGTGAATTGGGTGTCAAATCTCATTGTAGCACAGACATTCCTGTCAATGGCTGCTGTTGTGGGGACTGCTGTGACATTCCTGATTCTTGCAGGTGTTGCTGTACTCGCTTTCTTGTTTGTGGTTGTTTATGTGCCAGAAACAAAGGGGTTGAGCTTTGAGCAAATGGAAAATTTGTGGAAAGAGAGAGCATTGGGGAGTGGGAATGACAGGGAAGGCCTCCTTGGGAGGAGGAATGGGTTCTAAGTAGTTATATGCCCCTCGCCTTGTATATTTAATAGTATCAAATACAGGGTTCCTTCACAATGGGTTGGAATAAAAGCTCAGCTTTGAGGTTTGTTATTCATGTAAGGCCAATCATAATGTTCTTAAGGAGCAAATGGACATCACCGCCAGAAGTTTGGAATAAAATAAAGCAGAAGCAGGTCTTGTTCGAGATCATAATGGCCGATGGATATGTGGTTTCCCAGATTTTCTTGGTGATACAACTTTTGATGTGGCTGAAAGTATGGTCTCTTAAACTATAACTTAAGCTGGTTCAGGAAAGATGGTACAACAGGCTGGTGCTCGAATCGGATTTTCAATCTAATGTTCTAATAATGCTTCAAGGAGTCTAATGTATGGTGTCTTGGTCCTTTATATGATGATAAACTGAGTTTACTACGTAAGTGCCCCAATGTGGTTATCAGGCATTGTCATAGAGAAAGCAATCAGTGTGCTGATAGACTTTCAAAAGTAGGTTCAGAACAATCTAGTAGATTGCAGATTTGTGCTGTTCCTCCTTGTATTTGTCTTACTGTCTTGGTTGATATGTATGGGGTGTCTACCCTCGTCGTTGTATTTATGCTTAGCTTAATATAGTTTCTTTTATGAGCAAAATAATCAATTAATAAATTGATTAACTTTGGGGTTACATGTAATTCAAATAAATAGTTTTAAAATAAAATTAAAAAAGTTGATTATTAAAATCAATATTTTTTAAATGTTCATGAAATGAATGAACCATTAATCCATTAATATATATTTATGTTAAAATGATTTACTTAATTTTTGGTAATTTATAAAATAAAAAATTCTAGATTAATTAGTTTAGTAATTAAAATTATGAATTTCTTATGATATGAATCTTAAGAAATTTTAATGGATCTTATATAATTTTTAAATTAAGATTTATTTACTTGTATTTGTACCACGATAAATTTATAAAAGACCAGGCTCGTCTGATCTGGCCTGAACTAAGATCGAGCCAACTTCCCGTGTCTTTCCATTTGAAGACATTAAAAAAAAAAATTGAAAAGTTTGATTTAGAGCTTCCTGAAAATAGCCCAAAACGGGCTTCATGCGTCTTTTCAGGGTGGCATCTTTTGGCAGCTAGATCTTTTCCCAACCAAATCAGAAAAGACCAAAACGCAGATTGTTGGGTTTCTAAACAGCTGGCAGTCTACACAAAAAGACGCACCAAACGGGGCCAATGTGCTCTGCGCTATTATCTCAGGCGGCACAACTCCTCTTGGGTTCAAACTGCCCTCTCATTCTAATGAGTTCCAAAGCTCCAAAAGCTTGATTAGGGTTCCCATTGGCCAGGAACTAGGGATTTGGATTTGATTCTCTAAGAAAGGTTTGATCTAATTGATCATCTCAATCACTCCTGAAAGGGGCAAACGAAAATCCTATATAATGTGGCATCCAATGCCAATTCGAGCAGAGACTGATTGAGATTGTGATTTCTCCTTAATCTCAGTCTAATCCCAAATTTGAAACAAATCCAAAACAAATTGGAAGTTAATCCAAGTTAGCATGGGTATAGCGTATAGGATAGGGACTCAGGGGTTCTAATTTGAGGCAACAATCATCTGATTCAAAACCAATCAAAAGTAGAGTACCACTTGAACTTAGAGACTTTGTAATACTCAAAAGACATGCATCTTCAATAGTCATCTAGTATTGGATTGAGTCCAACATAACCTAGACCTGATTAAGAATTAGGCTATGTTGGGCCCAACCACCCGCAAAGCCCAATAATGTTAGTCCAACCTCCAACCTCCAACCTAGATAGTAATCAACAAGTATTGTGGCCAATGGAATACTTGCATTATGATCATTCTAATTACAATACTCAACTCTGGAAATGGTAGGGAAGGACTTATTTCGTCATAAACATTTATCAAACAATTTGGAAAGCTAATATACAATTTAAGCATCAATGTAATTTGCAAACTAGAAGACAACTATTTTAAATCGCCTATTCATAAGATGTATTGTCAATCCTCAATGAAGACATCATAATGTATTTCTTCTAATAATAGAGTAGAAGATCGAGATCCTATCACAATGTCAGATTAGGGAGATTTTTTTTTTTTTTTTTTACTTTGGATATTTTTTTTTGATATATGCATTGCAAGGTAATAATGGAAGCATACATGGTAAACAATGCTCTCCACGTTGACATGAACTTTGAATTGGAAATTAGATGTGTTTTGGACGGTTTAGTCTTTATATTTATATGTGGTGTTAATAGAAGGTTTTCACCATCGATTCGTCGAGCCCAAAGGCAAGTTGTCTATACTCTATAAATTCAAAACCCAAACCGGATGTTGAACCATTTCACCCTCCAGATCAATAGGTCAGCGGTTCAACTATCTGGCTCAATAGGTCAACAGTTCAACTATCTTGATCAATCTGTCAATTTGTGATCAATATAAAAATTTTCAAAAAGAATATATACAAACCTAGTAATCCTTTGAACACTTCAAATGTTTAGAAAAAAAATAAAAAAATTAACACTTCGAACAGGCCAACAGTTGGCATCCAGGTAACAGGTTGTTGACTGAGCCAACAGGTTTTGTAACATAGCAGATTAGAAGTAAACAAGAAACCAGATTATAACTGGATTACCAGGTTACCCATCCGACAACCCAGGTTACCAAGTATGTACATGTACGACGTGTGCGCCATACACACGCACAACAGGACATCACCTTAAACTACTCATGCGATCAATTACAAATAATCACAATGGCACTACCGAAACGGTGTTTTAAACATCCACAATTAATTGTTAAGCAAGAAAATTTATTTCTCGACACACTGATACCTAATATAACACGACTTAAACACAGTTGCTCAACTTTGAACTTACTCCAAAGAATGATAAATTGACAATTAATGTACATAGAATACAAATTCAGGAATCTAGCATGGTAATCAGCAATCTCACTCTTTTCCTACTGCGCTAGATTGCTGAGAACTGTGATCTTCACAATTTTTCTCAAGCACCTTGAACTGTTCTCGAATGTGATCTGCAAGCTGAGCTGCTTCTTTGTCCAGCTTTATGCGTCGTCTCCTAAAACTCTGAAAATTTTTCAGTTACAATTGTAGCATCGGTGTAGGATACCGAACCAAATTCCTTCATTCCATCTTGAAGGTTTGCAAGAAGGTACGCCGATAATGAGTGATAAAAAAAATATATTCATATTGATAAATACAGAGTGAATCATTTAAAGTTTCAAAAGCTTGTTGAGGATTTTTACAGTTTTGTTACTTGATTTTGTTTATTATTTGTTTAGTTAGAAAGTGGGGATCACAGAATATTATTTGGGAGCTTTTAGAGTAGTGTTTTTGTGTTTTTTATCGAGTTTTGTATAAGGACGTATCAGTCATTGTACATAGTTTTTATTTTAAGTATAAATACTAATGGGAGAGGGCGGCCAGATTAGTTTTTGCCTTCTTTTCGTTTCTTCACTCTTTCTTCATCTCTTCTCTCACAAAAACACTTCATTTCTTCCTCTTTCTTTTACAGTTTTTTTTTTTTTTTCAGTAGATTTCTATTTGATATCATATAGTCCTAAATCAGCTGATTCATATAGTCCTAAATCAGCTGACTGCATGAGGAGATAGAGAGCTGATCGATCTACTTCAAATTGCCCAATTCTGGATTTTATAGTGGGTTTCAGTCATCAAGAAGGTGATCTGTATTTTGGCATCAAAATCAGGAAGAACTGTAAGTGCGGGGAAAAGTAAGTTGGACTCTTCATTTTTTACCTAGTGTTGGGCGCTCAGACCTTTCTAGACTTCTTTAAGTTTTTTATAGTAGCGATTCAATTTCTGGCCTTTTCTGAGCTTCCTAGAGAGATCAATACCTTTCTCTCTTCTCCCATAGCTCTTGAGAAGGGAGATTTCTCCCCACGTAAGGTTTTCTTCCCCTGGAAAGGCTTTCCACCCTTGTTTGTGAGATTGATCTGGTCTTGGAGTATTTCTACCTAATCCTTTTTTGATTTTGAACTGATTAAGTTGAAATAGAGGGTTGGAGTATTGAGCAGAAACCAGTTGGTGGACCGGGTCTGGTAAGACTAGATGGTACAAATGATTTAGAATGGGCACAATCAGCCAAGATGACTATTGGTGCTTGTGAGAAATTGGGGTTCATTAGTGGGGAGGAGAAGAAACCTGATACAAATTCTTCCCGGTGGGTGCAAGAAAATTGCATGGTAATGTATTGGCTGTGTAGTTCAATGTTACCTCACATTGGTAGAAATTTTTTGTGGGCTAATACTACAAAAGAGATTTGGGATGGAGTGACTAAGACCTATTCCCAAAACTAGAATGTAGCTAGAGCCTATCAGTTGAGGAATCAGGTGATTAATACAAAACAGTGAGATAGACCTCTTGCTATGTATTTCTCTATGCTAAAAACGCTTTGGCAAGAGATAGATCACTTAGAGATTGTGGTCTGGGAGAATACTAAAGATGTTGCAACCTATTAGAAATTGGTGGAGAAGAATAGGGTCTTTGAGTTGTTGATTGGATTGAATCCTAAGTTTGATATTGCTAGACAACACATTCTTTCTAGAGAGGAAACAACAATTCTTGGTTGGACTAAATCTTTCTGAACCATATGCCTATGTGTCCAGAAAGGAGAGTAGGAGAAATGTTATGATGAGACAGTTTGAGATTGACCAGCCAGCTATGGTTAGTACAATTAAACCTAATCCAAATGGTCACAGGTGGAGCAACGAGATTAGGAGGGAACATAAGGACTTGGTGTACGATTATTGCAAGAAAGGGAATGGTTAGTACAATTAAACCTAATCCAAATGGTCACAGGTGGAGCAACGAGATTAGGAGGGAAGATAAGGACTTGGTGTACGATTATTGCAAGAAAGGGAATGCTAACGTGGAAATTACTAGAGACTCATCAAGGGCTCTTACTCAAGCCAACGTGGAGTCCATTGTAGTAGCAACAGTCATGACAGAATTGGAGAAGTATGGGCAGCTTATAAATAAGGACTCGGCTAGTTCTATTTTTTCAGGCGGGCAGCAAAGTGCATGAGACTTAGGAGCTAGTTACACTACTTTTGCTCTTGCAAGTAGTTCATATGCCACTACAAATTATGCATCCTCCTTAGGTAGGGAGAGACCTCCCTAGATTATAGACTCAGGAGCATTTGAGCATATGACCAATAAGTCTATCCTTTTTACTTCTTACCAGTTGTGTTCTAGTAGAGAGATAGTCTTACAGTAGATGGTTCTCATATTCCCATTGTTGGGAGAGGAACAGTTAGGGTAATTGATGGCAATACTTTGTCCTTGGGTTTAAGGTGCCATACACTCTTTTGTTTCCAAAGGTTTCATATACCTTTGAGAGTTTTTGGATGTGTTTGTTTTGTTCATATTCTTAGTCCTCGTCAGAGGAAGTTGGATCCTAAGGCCAAGAAACGTATCTTTCTTGAGCATGCTCAAAACCAAAAGGGGTACTTTTGTTATGATCCAATGTCAAGGAGCAGATTTGTCACTATGGATGTTACTTTTTTTAGTCTACATGCTTTTTCTCTGGTGGATCTCCCTAAGGGGAGTGTTTTGGGGAGAAATCACAGTTTGTTCCTTTTCATGTTCTTTCATATACTCCATTAGCTCCTCTAGTGTCACTACCTAACCCATAACGACCTGCCTCATAGTTCTTTTGGTGCCAAGAGGGTTGACTCCACACATGCTCCAGTAGGGGAATCCACACCTCTCCGTTGGTCCATTAAAGATCCCAAGTTTGTTTGATATAGTTCTAAGTATTTCCAATGATTTAAAAGGTGCGCCTAGGCGCACAAGCGAGGCGCATTTTGGGGTATGCGCCTCACCTAGGTCCTAGGCGCATCCCTTTCAAAAGGCGCATGCCTGGTGCGCCTGATGCGCCTTGCACCTCAGCCCAGGCATGCGCCTTTTTAAAATTTTGCACTTTTTGCCTTTTTTTGTGTGTAACGGCTGGGCCGGGGGCTCCGCTCCCGGACCCCCAACCACGCCCCTCAAGCTTGCCTCAAGGGGCGTGGTACAAAGGCAACTCATAGAATCAAGAATGCAATATGTTTTAGTGTTTTACATCACATTAGCTACTTAAAGCAATGCAATTAAGGAAAAAAAGAGATTGTGGGTTTTACATGCTTGAAAATGCTTTATATGTTTGCTTTTATTTTTAAATGTTCATTTGAATACGCTTTACATGTTATGTTTATGTATTTTAATTTTAGATAATTGGTTTTTTAAAACAATTATTTTAAATTTTATGTTTATATTTTTTATTAACATTGTGTTTAATATTTTTTGAATTTTTAAAATTCTTTTGGCATTTTTTTGAATTTTCTGATTTTTTTTTGTAGTTTTGCGCCTCGCCTTGCGCTTTTAAAACACTGGCTATTTCCCTTGAGCCTACTATTTTTTCTGATCCCATTGATGATACTTCTATACCTAACACTGATGTTGCAACTGATCTTGATCTTCCCAATGCACTTCTCAAGGGAAAGAGAAAATGCATAGCCCATTGCATTTCACACCATCTTTCCTATGGTGGCCTATCTCCTTCCTATTGTGCCTTCCTTTCTTTCCTAAACTTTGTGTCTATACCTAGGAATGTCATTAAGGCTCTCTCTACACTTGAGTGGAGAATATCTATGCAAGAAGAAATGGAGGATTTGACTAAGAATCAAACATAGGAAATAGTTGACCTTCCTACAGAAAAAGAGATAGTTGAATGTATATACTGTGAAGTACAAGGCTGATGATAGCATAGAGAGGTACAGGGTAAGGATGGTTGCAAAAGAGTATACACAAACTTATGGTATAGATTATCTGAAGACCTTTGCACCAGTGGCTAAGATGAGCTCAGTTCAAATCTTTTTGTCCCTAGTAGCTACTTACTCATGGATACTCTTCCAACTTGATGTTAAAAATGCTTTCCTTAATGGTGATTTGTAGGTGTATATGGACCTTCCAATTGGTTTTTAAAAGGATGTTGGTGAAGGAAAGATTTGCAGATTGAAGAAGTCATTATATGGTTTGAAATAGTTACCTAGAGCATGGTTTGACAAGTTTAGGGGGGCATTGATCCGTTTAGGATACACACAAACCTAGTCAGATGACACTTTCTTTGTGAAGAGGAGCGGACTACTAGCGCCAGTGCTGATTGTGTATGTGGATGATATAGTTGTTATAGGGAATAATCTAAGTGAGATCGATGCACTCAAGAAATCAGTGTAGTAAGAATTTGAGATTAAGGACCTAGGTGAACTAAAATATTTTCTAGGAATCGAGGTTGCAAGATCCAAGCATGGAATATTCATCTCTTAGAGGAAGTATGTATTAGACCTACTACAGGAAACTAGGAATCTAGGAGTTAAACTAGTTGATACTCCCATTGATCAAAACCACGGGATTAATGCTTTGGATAGTGAGTTGGTTAATGATGTAGGGAGATATTAGAGGATGGTAGGCTGGCTTCTATATTTTTGCATGACACACCCAAACATTTCTTATATTATGAGTCAAAATATGCACGCTCCTTAGGTTTAGCACTAGGAGGCTATTGCTAGTGTTAGAATACACGAATCAGCGGTATTTTGGTCATTTTGGTTTATCTGTTTGAGAGTGAAAAGTCTATTTTATTTAAGTTATGTGTCCCATCTTTCATGAGGGACAATATGGTCTTTCTTATAATTCTATTATTTGAAATAAATACAAGTGGGTCGGCTAGGGAGGACTGATTTTTCTCCTTCCTAATCTGGTCGAACTCTTCTTCTCTTCTCTTCTTCTTCTTCTTCTTCTTTCTTTTATTCTTCTCTACTTTAACCTAGAATCGAATAGGGTTTTCTTACATGGTATCAGAGCAGTAAAACCTTGTTCTCCTTTCATTCTTCCTTGCTGCTGTCTTCTTCCCGGGTTCGCCGCCAACTATTTCAGCCTTCTTCAAATTTCTGCTAGCCTGAGTGGAAGCTCGACAAGGGGCCAGAAAGGAGTCGTCGTTTTGTGGTTTTGGAGGTGAGTATGCCTCCAGTTACTGTGGTGGTGGTCGTTGAAGTGGTGTGCTAGAC